CTCTGGATTTAAGCAATTATTAAACCAATGTGAAGTGCATTTTATAACACAGGTTTGTTAACCTCCGGCGATATCGAGTGTGCCACCCTCTGCCTAAAATGTCCTGTTGATTCTAATGGATACCAGTCTTCTGTTTAAAACGGAGGTGAACCGAGAAATTCAAGACATTAACATCGGATGAGCTGTTTCCAATTCCGTCTTTCAGACTCAATAAAAGAGTTGCTAAGCTATTTGGTTCAGTGTGGGAAAACAAATAGTTTCCCGAGAAATGGTGTGTCTCAGTTATGTTATCGATGTACAAAGAACTCCTTTATAAAAATAGCATGACTTGTGTAAATCAGCCTTCACCTCAAAGCTGGTTTCATAATCAGTCAATCGCGTACTTCACGCCTGAAAATTTAATCACTTCAGACCCCTGAATAACAGCATGCGCATATTGAACACGAAATTGAAATTATTGTTCATGTATGTGAATTTCATTCATCTATCCGTCATTCTGTTTAACTTCCCGTTGGTCAAAGTCATTCATTCGTCGACCATGGCAGTGCTGGCCCGGTGGTAACGTCGCCAATTATCACACCGGAGGACGTATGTTCGACACCAACCACCGCCACCTGTCTCTCCCCATTATGTGTTATATGACAACTCTTTGATTGGCCGCTTCCCCCTTCCTGAAAATTGTACCCTTGTATACTCAATGACATGAAGTAAAAATGAAAAAAATTAATCTGAACGTCTCGAGTGATTTCCTCACTCAAAATGTGCAAAATAATTTTGATTTTTTTTCAATCCAATCTTCATTCTTCTCTTTTATCCAAAGTGGCGGCCAAAAGACCTACCGAAACCGGCGCACAAAAATGCATGTTTAATGGTTGTAGAAACTGCTACTGAAACTTGGTGATTTCCTCCAATGCATCCGGCAAAGAATGCTGCCAGTCAAACTAAATATACTCGCGTTTTCTTGAGGTCTCGTGTTTTTAATTGTAGTTTCCCTCACATTACGACCATTCAAGATGACGGGGCTTTTCCTAATATATAGGTCTATCTATGTTTGGTAATATACACGTCTGAGACTCAGCTGTGTCAAACAAACCACAGTACAATAATCTTTATGAAAAAGAAGGGAAGATTTATGATTTGCTATTGTGTGGAATACTACCAGATTGTCCAGACTAAAGTAGATAAATTTTCTTGAGGAATTCACAACTGAAGCCTGACCCCGCAAGGCAGAGGGCGGTGTGTAAAAGCCGCAATCGATTGGGGCTGGTGGCCGGTTCATCGTATCATACAAACTGAACTAAACTGATCATACACCCTTTGGACAAGGTCCAAGGTGCCCCATCTCGATGCCCAATCCAGCCGGTGACCACTACCACATCTAGGAAGCTCTGGGCGAGTGTTGTTCGTACTCGTCTTCTTAGTTAATTCCGAATCAGATTTATTACCAACTCCTCTAAGTGAATTGCAGATGGTTCACCAACCCGGTTGTAGCCCCCGATATTAACTCTCCGTCATCTCACTTCAGTGGGAAAACCGCCACGGGAAGGTAGTGAGTATATATAAATATAAATAT